AATAAAATAAAATATTCCTGCACTCTCCTGTGCTAAGATGTCTCAAAAAAATGACTGAAGCACATTCTTTAGGCAACAGGAAAAGCCTGCACTATTTGGAGTTAACAAAATGTATTATCTGCAGTTATTAACTGGTTCCCAACTAGTTGGAAGCAGTCGGTCCAGTCTGCAGGTTACAGTGCCAGGAGCAATGACAACACACGTGTAGCTCTGCAAGACGCTGAATGGGCTCTGGAAGAGTTCTCCGCTTGGGCACACCACCATATGCTGACGGCTTGGACTGCTGCTGTGGTCCATTTTGATTCAACAGAGCAGTAGTGTCATCCAACAGACCCCCCCCCAGTTGGAAAGAGCAAGGAAGGAGCAGGTTCTGTACTTCCACATTAGCACCAGCTACACTGGATCTTGGTCAGGTTAGTTAAACCACTTAAGGTGTCTGCACAGTGGATCTGCACAATCTCAGCTTTTTTACAAACAAGTGCTTCTGCTCCCACAAGCCCACACAGAACTAAGACATTACTTTTCAGCAATCTGACATTGCATAGTTTCAGAAGTTCAGAACTATCTCACTCATGCACTTTTTTTAACCCAGAGATAATAATTAACAAGGTGAAATTCACTAACAAAAGTAAGAACATCAACAGCTAACACCAAAACCAAAAAACTAAAAGTGGAAGCTTTGGTTTTTGTTAACAGGACTGCAAGAACTATCAATTTGTACAAAATTAGAACAGAATCAAAACAAAAACAACAAAAAAGTTGTAATTTGATTTCATGCATTTTCATGGAATTAAAAAAAAACCTGTATCGAGAATAAGGGCTCAAGCCTCTCTCACAGAATGAGAGCTTGCCTAAAAGTCACAAAAAACCAACTTGCTTCTTTCCACATTTAATACTGTTGTTCTCACTTACCTCAGTGAGCTCCTTCAGGGTATCTCTTGATGACTTCTGATTGGCTTTGTCGTCTTTCTTTTGAGATAACAAAGGCATCAGGCTTGGTGGTAAGGGAACACCAGACTTAGCACACATGGCAGCTGCATTAGCTTTGGCTATTTCAAGTAGCTGGGCCTTGTCTAAAAAATATATATTTTTTTTTTTTTAGTTATTATTTTTACAGATTTTTGTTTTCATAATAAACAAGCATTTCTGTCAGACTAAACAGAGCACAAAGAGAAAACACAAGATTTTACCCATACTGTGCATCTTTATGTTCTGTGAAAATAACTAAAATTGTACTCGGTTGCTCCGGACTTTTTAAAATTTGGTCTACAAGTGAAACTACAAATTTAACACAAACACAGGAGTCCAAATTACAGCATTCAAAATCCTTCAAACCCCACAAGTTCAAATGCTTATTTTACTTCACCAATTCATTCTAGTTTTGTAAATACTGGGTCATTTCTACACAGTATAAATGCCAAAGCCTACTTCCTAGCTATCTCTGAAAAACATGGGTCTTGAGGAAGTCCCATCAAATCCTCCAGTACAGAGCCTGAAAGCTACTTAGAACCAACCAACAGAAAAACATAAGCACTGAAGAAAATGTGTGCTTGCATAAAATACAACTATGCTAGTAAGGAAAAAAGCACATGTAGCACTATCACAGAAGAAGGGAATGAAAATAAAGTATGTCTTACTTTATTGTAAGATAATACAATTATCAATTGGCCAGTCTGCAGATAAGTAAGTTTATCGCGGCAAGCCTACAGCTTCACAAAAATCCTAAAGGGCCAATGCTGCTTTACATCTTAAGCAATAAAAGTATATAGATACAGACTTTCTGCACAGTCAAAGAACGAAGGCAGATTAAAGGATGCTCATTATTTCTCATGCTCTATACAAAACTACTTCTCTGGTAGAGGCTTCCACGGTACCTTTGAGACAGAACTAAAAGAACCAGAACCTGAGGTCCACAAAGGGGGGCTTCCTCACAAACTGTACAAGAGCTTGCCTCTTTAAAAATTAAAACCTTCTTTCTCCTTATCTAACTTACCACCTAAGAAAACTACTAGGCCGCTCTTTCTCCAGCCACAGAAAAAAAAAGATGCCGTTCAGTAGGATTTTTTTCCCTCACATTTCCCAATCAGCTGGGTCTGGGAATATTTTCAGAAGTTAGTCTCCCTTCCCATTAAGTTCTCAGCATGGGCAAGTGGCTAGAGAGAGTAATGGAAATAAATAAACAAGCACTACAGCTTACAACAGAACGAAGAACTCTCCAACTGGCACTTACTTTCACATGTTCTTTCAATTTGTTCTCAGCAAAATGAGAAATTCCCCATTTCTTAGAGAGTACTGGGCCTTTACTAACCATCGCAATGAACTGTAGTCCTCAAGACTGCAACATACTGCCCTTTTGTTATAGGGCTTTTAAATAAGATATAATCTGCTTTAGATACGCTTTAATCCAAATGGCAAACATTGGTTCAGCTCCAACAGAAAAGTTCCGATTGGAACTAAAAGTACTGCACAAAACAACTTCCAAGAAATTCCTTACGAATGCTACAGAGACGTTCAAATAAGACTACGTAAATGAACTCAGATCACCTAGCCATGGAACTACTGAAAATAAAATTATCACTTACCCAGGTCTGTAAGACGTTTAGGTGACCTGCTTGCAAATCGTTCCGATGACCTCGACCTACGACGATCAGGTGATCTGCTGTATCTTCTTCTCCCTGAAGATCTCGATCGCCGTAGTCGAATTGGTGATCTACTAGAGCTCCGCCTTCTGCCCCTTGACCTTGATCGCCTTTGACGGATAGGTGTTCGACTTCTGCTCCGTAATCTGAGTGATATTCTACGATCTCTTGAATCCGATCTTCTTCTTCTTCTGTCATTAGATCTTGATCTATTTCTCTGAGATCTCTTACGCCTGTCTCTTGATAAAGAACGTCGCCTTCTTGATGCTGACCTCGACCTACTCCTCCTCCTGTGCCTTGAACGTGACAATGAGCTAGACCGAGAGCGACGATTAGACTTTGATCTCGATGCTCTTCTCCGTGTTACTGACCTGGAACGATTCCGTCTAGAGCGAGACTCTGTATCGTATCTCTGGGATCTGCGCTGAGAAGACCTGGAGCGTCTGCTTCTAGACCTCCGGGAAGATTCTTTGTCTGCGGTTTTTTCAATAGATTTGGATCGACTCCTTTGGCGAGCAGCGGACCTTGAGCGTCTACGTCTAGACCTCCGTGAAGACTCTTTGTCCACTGCTTTTTCAACAGATGTCGATCGACTCCTTTGGCGTGCAGTGGACCTGGAACGTCTATGTCTAGACCTCCATGAAGATTCTTTGTCTGCTGTTTTTTCAACAGATGTGGATCTACTCTTCTGGCGAGCAGCAGACCTGGAGCGCCTATGTCTAGATCTCAGTGAAGACTCTTCATCTGCCACTTTTTCAACTGATGTGGATCGACTCTTTTGGCCAGTTAAAGATTTTGAGCGCCTGCTTATAGATCTTCGTGAAGACTCTTTGTCAGATGTTTTATCAACAGATCTGGATCTAGATTTTTCACGTTCAGAAGACTCAGAACGCCTACTTTCAGGTATAAAGGAAGAGTCCTGTTCCTCCAGCCTCTCAGGAGACATGGAATCCTGTTTATCTTCATCTGCCAAAGAGGGCTCTGCATCCTCACCCTCTTCACCAGTGGTAGACCTTGACTCCTGATCATCTGATGATGTGGAGTCTCTTCGTTCTGCTGTCAAGGAGGGCTCCGCATCATCTAACTCTTCACCAGTGGTAGACCTCGATTCACGTCCATCAGGGGATGTAGAACGTCTGTGTTCAGTTGTCAAAGAAGGTTCCATATCGTCTGCTTCTTCACCGGTGGTAGACCTTGACTCGTGCTCGTCCGATGATGTGGAATCTCTTCGTTCAGCTGTCAAAGAAGGTTCCATATCCTCCACATCTTCACCAGCGCTAGACCTCGACTCATGTTCATCTGAGGATGTGGAGTGTCTACGTTCCCGGTCCTCTGCTTCTTCTCCAGTGGTTGACCTTGACTCACGTCCATCAGGAGACACAGAGCGTCTATGTTCAGCTGTCAAAGAAGGTTCCAAATCCTCTTCTACTTCACCAGTGGTAGACCTCGACTCATGGTCATCAGAGGATGTGGAGTGTCTACGTTCAGCTGTCAAAGAAGGCTCTCCATCTTCTAGATCTTCACCTGTGGTAGACCTCGACTCACGCTCATCAGAGGATGTGGAGTCCCTCCGTTCAGCTGTCAAAGAGGGTTCTGCATCCTCTACCTCTTCCCCAGTGGTAGACCTTGACTCATGCTCATCAGATGACACAGAGCATCTACGCTCTGTTGTCAAAGGCTGCTCCAGATACTCTCCTTCCTCACCAACACTAGATCTTGACTCGTGTTCATCAGGAGATGTAGAACGCCTGTGTTCAGATGTCAAAGAGTGCTCCAAATCATCCATGTCTTCATCTATGGTAGATTTCTGGTCATGGCCCTCAGGGGACACAGATCGTCTATGTTCAGAAGTTAAGGAGGACTCGAGACCCTCTTCCTCCATGGGAGATTTTGGCTCATGACCTTCCTGATACGAGGATGTGGAATGCCTACGTTCAGATATCAAAGAGGCCTCTAGATCCCCTGTTTCTTCACCGGGGGCAGATTTCACACTGTAGCCACCAGGGGACATGGAGCACACACTTTCAGGCATTAAAGAAGGCATTGCATCATCCATTTTCTCAACAGGAATGGATTTCAAGTCAGTGTCATCAGGGGACATGGAGGCTCTGTCATTCAGTGTCAAAGGTTCGAGATCGCCTACTTTTTCAACAGTGGAGAATCTCAACTCCTGGCCATCAGGGGATGCTGCCTGTTCATTTTCAGGTGTTGGAGAAAGCTCCCGCACATCTGCTTTTTGAGCCGGGGGGAATTCTACCTCCTGGCTCTCAAAAGACAAAAGATGGTAATTTTCAGATGTCAAAGAAGAATGCACATTTTCCGTTTTCTCCACATGAGTCAATCTTGATTCATACTCTTCAGGAGACAGAGCATGTTCAGATGCCAGAGAAGGTTCCTTAGTGTCTAGTTTTTCAGCAGGGCTAGAGTGCAGCTCCTGACCTTCAGGGGACATGGTACATTCACCTTCAGACAAAGACAACTCCTGCACTTCTGTTTTTTCAACAACAGTAGACTGCAACTCCTGGCTATCAGTGGACACTGAACTTTCACTTTCAGATGTTTCAGAAGGTTCCTGCATTTCTTTTTCAACAGGACTGGATCTCAAATCATGGCCTCCAGGGGATATCTCGTACTCATTTTCAGGCAGCAAAGAACATCCTTGCACCTCTGTTTTTTCACTAAGAGCGGAGAACAACTCCTGTCCTTCAGTGGATGCAGCATATTGACCATGTGATATTAGAGAAGGCTCTGGCTCCTCTTTTTCAGCAGGGCTGGCTGTCACCTCACAACTCTCAGGAATTACAGCATATTCATTTTCAGGTGGCAAGGAACACTCCTGTACCTCTGTTTTTTCAGCAAGGAAAGGTGGTAATTTGTGATCTTCAGAAGACACAGCATATTCATTGTCAGGTACTACAGAAGCCTCATGCAACTCTACCTTTTCAGGAGAGCTAGACCTCAGCTCCTGGCCCTCCCAAGGCACAGCATATTCATTTTCAGATGCCAGAGCAGGCTCTTGCACTTCTATCTGGCTCTCAATGGACACTGAACACCTTTCTTCAGACATCCGATAAAGTTCCCGCAGCTCTGTTTTTTCAGCGGGTGTTGATGTTAACACCGGGCTATCAAGCCCTACTGTGTATTCATTTTCAGAAATTTGAGAAGGCTCCCCAACCTCGACTTTTTCAAAAGGGGTGGATGTCAACTCATGACCATCAGAGGAAACACAACATCCGCTTCCTTGCATTTCTTCATCATAGGAAGATTGCAACTTGTGGCCATCAGGGGATGCAATGCATTTCAGTTCAGAGGACAAACAGGACTTCTGCACCTCTACTTTTTCAGCAGG